AAAGATGTGGCCTAGTGTGTTAGAAATTAATCTATCTGCAGTCTGTGTGAGGTGATAGCAGTTTTATCAGGGTTATCTGATTTGGTGACAATTTTTTACTGGCTAGCAGTCTTTACTGTATATAACTTGATGGTGCAAACCCTTATTTTACAATTTACTCTCCAGATTTCTCCTTATGTGCTCAAGAAAGTGAAGCTCAAATACACATGTTCAGGCAAGAACTTTGGATTTACTGGCTCCTTCTAACATACTGCATGTAGTGTTTGTGGAAACATTGGAGCCACCAAGGAGAAAACAGAAGTGTTGTGCACCAACTTCCCTTTCAAATGAAAAACAGGGAGAAGGATTGCACTTCTGGATACAAACAGTGGGGTATGTGAAAGCCTCTCAGATAATGTTGTGATAACGATCCTTCCTCCCCTTCTTCAGTGACTTCCCTGAAAATGGGAGCGTAGCATGAGACAAGTCCAAAAGCTGTAGTGCCATACCACATAGAAAAATTGCCTTTTCTATTTAAAAGAGGGCAGACATGTTGCAATACTGTGCATGCTGTCCATCCAAGTGCATCCTTGCTGGAACCAGTGTCCTAGAGAAACAGTCTGACTGACTTGTGAGCAGGCACACAGCCAGTCTAACAGACGGAGGTCAGTGAAGTCAGCCAAGAGACCATGCACTAACTGCACACAGAGTGCGCTAGCTAACGGCAGGATTCCCAGACAGAAACACCCAAATATCTCCTGGTAATCACATTTTCACGTACTGGGACAAGACAGAGATCAAGAAAATGTCTTTAGCAAGAGAAGTAGAAACAGGAAGATATGACAAGTGGTTTCTGTGTGGCTTACACCAGCAGTGTAGCTGTGGTGAGTGGAATTACATTTTAAAAAGTGCGTTGTCTTTTAAGACCACTGTCAGAACCAGGCAGGCAGGGGAAGGACTAGCTCTCTTCAGAGGATGTGCATTCAAGGTCATAGGGGTTGTTTGTAATATATTAATGAAAAGAGCCTGATTTCCTGACTGTCTTTTGCCTAGGATACAAGACCAGTGAAAGAAGACCAATCTTTTAGCACTCCCACTCTTATTAAGCTGATCTTTATTTAATGCTGCTGGTAATGAGGACAGGCTTGTGTTAGTAACAATGATTTTAAACACATGTGATAACCAAAGAGTGGTAGAAACCAGCTGAACTATCATGCAAGGAGCTGAAAATGAGGATCAAGATAAATTGCCACCATAAAGGGAGACTAAAAATGCAATCTGTATAAAGGTCGGCTAGTTACTTGCCAGACTGACTTGGTGCATCCTGCAGTAGTAGGATCTTGTCATTTGCAGAGCAATGTAATAAAGGCATGAAGTGTTATGTCGCATTTGGGATGCTACAATAAAAAATAGTCAGCATTTCTTCTTTGACTGGCCTTTGAAGCGCTTAGAATTGAGCCATACACAGTCTCAAAAAGGCTTTCAGTGAAGCAGGGTCCAGCCATTGTGTTTTTAGAAATTCTTGTATTGTTGTGAGTTGCAAGAGTCAAAAGAAGAGAGCAGATTGAGTTGTGTTTGACAGACAGCACAGTCAGGACTATGAAGCTTCCCCTGCATCATGCACTGGAGAGTGGGCGGAAAACTGACTAAATAGTACCAGTGCTTCACCAGGCAGATGGTCAGGCAAAGGCCAAAGTCCTCTGTCCCTCTCTCCTGCCTCTTCCAGTTCCCAGATGCAAGTTGAACTGGCACAGGGGTTGCTGTAATTTGCTGCTGGTATAGACCAGCAACAAATTACTCCCCTGAGGAACAAACAGGAATAGGGAAGAGCATCTCTGAGGCATAAGGCCTCTGGAAAGATTCCTTACGCACCACCCATCTCTCAGGGCTGTGCCCAGAGGCCCAAACTACCCTGTGGAGGATACTTCTGAAGCCACCAGAGAGAGGAGAACCTTTCTCCCACCTCCCGAATTTCCCTCTCCCCTTCTGAAGTGTAATCAGTGTAGATAGATGTCAACTTGATTACACTCGAAAAAAAATATATTGGTACGTGTCTTGGACCTCAGTGTAGGAGAGGCACACTTGCTTGCTGGCTTGGAACAATACCTTTAGCTAAGGAAACTTGCTCCTACTTGCTTGTCTCTTTTTGCATTTTTACATTTTCCAGAACTTTGGATGCAAAGGGCCACCTTCAAAAAATGCTTGCTGTGCAATAACTGGTAAAGCGAGACATTACTTGGTGTGAGTACCAGGGTCATGATTGAATCTCAGAGGTAATATATTCAAATAGGCAGCCAAAATAAAATACTGATGGTGAGCCCTTTACTCTGAACTTGTATTTGCTTCATAAATCGTACAGCTTTAACTGTCTGGAAGTAACTTTCATTTGTATTTGAACATAGCCATACTTAAGGATGCTTTTTTCTTCTTGCTAAAGGAGATTCATATGATACAGCACCAAGGTCAGGGATTCCCACAGCTCAGAATCATTGATACATTTATGATCACTGTTTCCCCTGTCAGGGTGGGATACACAGCAGTTTCCCACTGAAAAAAAGACAACTGGCAGTGGGGTTCATCTGAGCAAATGTAGATGCTTGCAATGTAGGTCTCCAAATCCCAGTTTTGCATCCGCTGCTGTTAAGGGTCAGTGGAGAAAGATAAGCTTTTCTAGGCGTGATTTATTTTGTTTTGAGATATCTGTAAAAGATCAGACTTCTGTATAAGAAAAGACTCTTTCTTAAAGTGCTATTGATTGCACAGAGTTCAGGGTGAGCAGCTGAGATGTTTCCATTGCAATTAAAACATCCATCCTACTCAGGGAGATTAAAGATTGCAGAAGGATTTAGGTGTTTACATCTGAAATGTAGATACTCAGAATGCTTTCTTAGTTGCCACTTCTCCTTGGAGATACCAAGGGTTCCCGGGGACCAAGTCTGTAGATTTGCTAAAGGCAAGCATGCCTGTCTGTGAGGCACCTTGACTTCCAGTGACATTCGCTGCCCTAGGCTTCCCCTGTTCAAATGAGGAAAAAAAGCAAAAAACATCAGTCAGGACAGAGTATAGCTCTGAAGTATTACACAGTATAAGCAAAGACAGACAAAATATTGTCTGAAAATCCAGAGACAGAGATTTTGTTGTATTTTTAAATGATTTAAATTTTTGGATTGACTGGAAATTCCTCAGAAGCAGAATTTTTGGGTGATATTTTGGTTACAGCTTATTTTGCCAAAACACATGCTTTCCCCATGTAAGGGAAAAAAAATAAGTCTTTTATTTATGTAGGATATTTTAGCTGCAATGGCATTTGATGCGTGCCCACACATATCTGCATCCGTGCATATACATATAAAAACTGTAAATATTTCCAAATGCTAAGCACATTGTAAGTGATAAGCAGAGAAGGACAGTATTGTATTGACTCAAATTAATCCCTGGTAAATACAGAAGCCTGGGAAGACAGGTTTAACAGGTCTTACCACTGTTGTTGGTAATTTGAGGAAGGTAGCAAGAGTGGAAAACATGGTACAATACGATGACCATGTGGCTATTCCTGTTTCCAGGCTCCATGTCCATTTTTAAAGATCTATAACTTCCTAATGCCTTTGGTGGCTTATTGTTAAAAATGGTATTAAGTAGATAGTAGGATTCAAACTCGAAGAAGGAATTTGATGCCTAATTCCTGATAGAATCTATTATCACTCCTTGACACCACAGCAGAGTTGTCTGAGCTGTTAGATTTCTTGTTTATGCTCCAGCAGCAATATGGTTTCTCCCCTCCATCAACCCTCTTGAGAGGACTAGAGTTCATACTTATGGCTGTACTCTTACTCCTTTGGTCCAGAGTGTTTCAGTGGAAAAGTGACCATAAATCTCCTTTTTTTTACCCAGTGGCCCACTTTTCCTTTGGGGTGTCCAAAGTATCCTGGATTTACATGCAATTAGTCAGGGTTCTTTGTTTTTTCCAATAAATCAAACTCTGATCAAGACACACTGCTGTGGGTGACAGCTGGTCTCCTCTGCTCAGGGTAAACAAAAAGAGTGGAATGACCACGTGGTACAAGGAAATGTTTGCAGGGAAAAGATATTCTCAAAGCTGCTTTTTGTACAGTACAAAATTTTGGACCCTGCTGTCTTTCTGTGATTTTTACAAGGACCTGCAGTGACAGGACAAGGGTGAATGGCTTCAAACTGAAAGACAGTAGGTTTTGGTATTGGAAGTTCTTTGCTCTAAGGGTGGTGAGGCACTGAAACAGGCTGCCCAGAGAAGTTATGCATGCTCCACACATGGAGTTGTTCAAGGCCAGGCTGGATGAAGCTCTGAGCAGCCTGGTTTACTGAAATGTGTCCCTGCTTGAAACTACATGATCTTGGATGTTCCTTCCAACCCATTCTATGATTCTATTATTTTCCCGTTGCATTGATAGATTTGATTTTTTTTCTTTTTTCTAAAACAAGTAGAAAGAAGTGTTTCTGGCTTTTGATAAGAGAGTACAAAACAGAGGGTCTGAATTCTGCCACTGTCAGTTATCTTGAACATCACCTACCCTACAAATAATTCTATATATTTTTTAAAAAGTATTTTTTAATTACCATTTAAAAGTACTTCTTAATTAGAGTGAAATGCAAATTGAAGAAGATAAACATCACTTTCCTTGAGGTTAAATACAATAAGATTCTCCTCCTGCAACCTTTCCTCCATCTCCACTTTTATTTTTCATTTCACATAATTTCTGCTTTTGAAGTCATCCTCTTCTTGTGCATGAACAGTTCACTTGTAGATTGTGTACAGAGATTGTAAAAGTGGCTCCTCAGAAATAACAAGGTGGAACAGCAGTGCTGGTTTCCTGAAATAAAGAACAGTCTGAAAAATAGCAAAGAGATGGCTGAGGGAGAGGTGAACTGGGAAGATGTGTTTGATAATGTATGGCTAACGAGAGGGGACTGGAAGCTTTGCTGAAGAATGGCAATAGAGGGGTATTGTTGTGCTGTGGCTGAACAGGATTTTCTCTTTATTACAGAAAGCACTTATCTACATGGGCTGGCACAACCACCTTTCTAAAATCACATCCCTCTGGACTGCAGTACAAGCCCCCAGCCCTGTGAGGCAGACTTGGTCCTGATATCATCACTTTAAGGAGGTTGTGATAATCTCCTGATGGAAAGGGTCATCTCTTATGCAGAGAACAAGAGTAAGCTGAGCCTCTTTTCCTTTTCCTTCTCCAACTTACAGGAGAAAAGATGAATCAGAAGCAGAATCAAACCCACTGAGTTCCAAAACTGATTGTTTGCCTCTGTGATAGTCCTCCTTTTTCTTGTCTTTGTCCCTGTGAATCTGCTTTGCCAGACCAAGGGTACCTTTATTGCTCATGGACAACACTTGTGAGGGTTGGAGCTCCCTGACATACATGGCATGGAATGAAGTCTTCTTGCTTATTCCTGGATGGACCATCTGGGGGAACAGGAGCACTTCAGAGATCAAAGGCGACAGTATTGCTGACTTCTCAACCACAAACAAGGAGCAGAAAGAGAACCTATGGAAAAAAAACTGATTAATGGTATCTTAAAGTGGATTGTAAGAAGAAGGGGACAAGAATTGAGCTCCTTTACGTGGATGGCCAAAGGGTCATGCAGTAGTTAGAGAGCCAGAGAAGTCAGACACCTTTGATGCCTGGCCACAGCTTGAAAGTGGGAAGGGGACAAGAAGGATGAGTGGGAAGAATTCAAGTGTTTCCTGCCAGCTGAGTTCCATCTCACCTGCTGGAACCTGGCAGACATCAGGCAGCAGAGGAGCTTTCAAAAATAAGTCCTTTTAGTTTTTCTTATGAAATATTTTCACTTTAAATGAAGTATTTTCACTTTAAAGTCATGATAAAGTGTGAGAGATTGTGTGTGAAACCAGCTGCAAAGTTTTTACTTTTTTGTATGACTGGTCTTGGTTTCTTTCTAAAAATGGCATTTGTTGCACTTCTTATTGAACACCTAGCTAAGCTAGAAGCAAGGAGTTACTTATTAATGTATTTATTTAAAATTCCAAATTAAAGACTAAATTCTCATGAGAAATGTTTTTTCATGATTTCCATAAAAAAAGCCAAACTGGTGGAAATCTCATTATCTAGAAGTTTTGTATATAAAATCTGTAAAGTAGCTGTAGCAAAAGAGTAAATAAAAGTCACTTTAGTAGTGACATTTAAATTACATAGCATTATCCGTGTGTGAAAAACTGTATTTGTACATGCTTACATTGCTGAAACCTTTATTTGTTAGAATCCAAGTGCTGCTGCTGTGCATAAAGTACTCTGTGAGGTACACCCATATGTTTCCAAAGTAGCATGAACGTGTGCACTGATGTTGATCCAGAGGAAGCCTAGGGGTTCTTCCTTTCCCTCTTGTACGCTGATTATTTCTGCCAGGCCCAGAGAGATCTGTGCGAGCACGCAGGGGCCAGGGCTTGGTGACAGGATGTACATGCAAACAGATGGCTTCCATGATGCTCAGAAGTCTTTTTTTCCTGAAGGTGCCATGCAACAACATCTTTGAGTTGTAGGAGAAGACAAGCATGGGGCAGACGGGAAGGACCCGGCCCCATTGCTCTAGGGCTGGGGTTGGTTGGTGCACAGCGCCCTGCTAAAATGAGGCCCAGAAACACTACTTCTCAAGCCCTGTATGTAAAGATGTCAAAAATAAACCGTGTAAATATGCCAGAAAGAATGATACTTTCATGTTTTTATGCTAAAAATGGATAAGGGAATTGTCAGGACTCTTGAGAGCAAAAATGATAATGTATGACATTAAATATTGACTTAAAATATCTGTTTTGCCACCCCTTTCTATTATTTCAGTATGCAGTTGCTTGAAGGTAAAGTATGATTTTTCTGTCCCCTCTGTAATAATATATAATACATCAGAACAGAATTTTCTAAGTCTTGTAAAAATCAATCCACTTTCCCTATTCAAATGTGGATTAAATATATCAGATCTCATAGCAATTATATTTCTGATCTTTTCATTGTTCATTGTCTTTGTCAGGAAAGTTTTTTGGGAATGTTTTCCAGGCTGAAAACCTGATTGGAAAATTGTGAAATGTGAGGTTTTTGAGTGTTTAGTAGCATGCTAAGTAATCACACTTGCATAGTAAAATCTTTAAATTACTAGAAAGTGATGATGTAGTAGGAATAGTATTTACTGGTAGGATCAGTAAGATGCTGTTTGTGTTAATAATTGACAGGAAGAGATATCTTCTGTCTTGCAGTGCAAATTGCACAGTTAAGTCAACAGTGAATGAGTTTTCATGGTAGATGCCCTGTGTAATGTGTCCAGCTGGGAAATGTGTGTCATAATCCAGCCAGATATGAGCATAACTTAGTGTACTGTAGATGCAGTTCTTTACCTGATATTATTTACTGAACTGGGCGGTCATAGGAAGTGACGAGGAGTTATTCAAAATAACACATTTGACATGCACATGCTCATTATTCTATTTAAAAACCAACACTGAATGCATTCCTGTGCATGATGATATCTTCTCATTCAAATGGTTTCTGCTACTCATGGCTTGATTTTAAAGTAATAATTACTGTTACACAGAGCTGCTTCTCTGGAGAAAAATGCTCTTCCTTGGCTGTGATGATGTGTGCCAAGCAACCTTTAGATTTCACCTGGAATAAAATTTGAGGACTTGGAGCTGTGTGTGTGTTGTCTGTGAGCACATGTGTACACATGCACACATGGGTACTGGCATTGTGACACAATGCAAGCACCACAGGCGCAGGCACAGACATAGAAAGAAAATTATTCTTCTCCTGCTTATTTTCTTGGCACTTGCAGCTTGGTTAGATGTGAGATAGATGAAACATTTGCATCTTCTATCTGCATAATGAGTTCTATACAAAATGATCGCAGCTAATGCAAAAGACAGGGTGGCATGTTTTCAGTTTTAATGGGGACACTCAGAAAACTTCCAATCTTTCTTGACATTTCTTATAGCAAAATAAATGTGGTCTAGGTTGGAGTGTCTATTATGAAAATAAGAGAAGAGCAAGTCAATTATATTTCAATGACTGAATAGCCAGGGGTCCTCATTAAAATGATCAGAAAGGCTGCAGTGTTGCTTTCTTGTATGTAGCCACTGATTAAGTTGTATAAGAATGACATGGCCTTTTTGGGAGAAAAGCAGAGTATGCCGTGGTCTCTGGCCAGCCAGCCAGAAACCGTTGACACTTAGAAAAGTGAGATGCGCGCTCCATCAAGAAAGGGAAGTTACTACTTATGGGGTCATGGACTCCTGATGTATTTAAAAATAGTTGTGGCTGTTTTATTGGACACACTCAGGGAAAGCTTTGAATTTGCACTAGGCTGTATGAAAATGCCTGCGGTATGGTGGTGATATGGTATGTTTTCCTTTCCGCTGGCTTCGATGAAGTATACATAGCTTAACAGAATAGTACTATTATTGCAATCTCGCTGTATTTGAACCTTTAAGCAATATTTTAGTTATCAGTTCATTACTATTCATTTCTTAGAATTTAAATTCTTCTTATTTGCCAATTATTTTTTTGGTATAAAATGTTAGGAGAAAAAAGGCTCGGTAATTTTTTCCCGGGAGAGACTGTATCCTGAAATGGTAAAAAGAATATTTGTTTAAATCTCCTGAGGGTTTGCAGTCTAAGGAAATACAGTATTGCCTAAGATCTGCTAATCCCAGATCAAGTGGCTGTAGAATTTAAAAAATGCATGTTTTCTCTTTCATGTTACTTAACGGACCTTATATATTTATTTTAAAATAATCCATCTGAAATTATATTTTATACAGTTTTACTTCTTTTAATGAAGTGATTGCTATAAAGAGATACATACTTCTAGTAAGGATTTCTATAAAGATTTATACCTTATTTTTTCTTATTTGGAGAGTGTTGTAGAATGTTACCATTTTACATTTAAGAGTGGTACAAAGCAAAACAATCTCGTGTTAATTAAACTGTTATGGTTTAAATTTTTTCCCCCTTTGAATTGCATCACTGACAGTTTCTAAAGACGAATTGATAAATAAAAGGCAACATTTTATAGTGCTCTTGTATCTATTAGTACTGTGAAATTTGAACCAATATTCATCTTCTACTGAGGTGGAAATATACCTCAGCATTTTCCACTTTTACTATCTGATTCAAATAAATACTAATGCAAAAAATAAAACCAAATAAAATCTCTGCTATTTCTGACTGCAAGTACTAGCTAATCTAAGCTTGTATTCTAAGTCAAATCACATCATAGAGTGCTCCATTATCAACAGTGATATTTCATTATAAATGAAGACAAATAGAGTTTTATGTAAGTCTGCTCACATTTTGATGAAATAATTTTTAGTCTCAAGAAATCCAATAGCAGGACACATTGTAAGCTAAATACATTAACATATCAGGTACTTAAAACTAATTGGATTTACTAAAATTAGCCAATAATGCAGCTAAATAATGATGCTCTTCATTTACAATTCAGGAGCTCAGTAATGGGCAAGGGAAACTGCAAGTGCTTGCAGTCAACAATAAAAGAATTGGTAATTTTGCCAATTATTATGTAGCACAAGATGGCTATTTAAAAAGTTTTCATTTTTTATTTACATACATGGCATCTAAAGAGGAGAAAAAGTGTCTCTGCCTTATTTACTTACAAATGCATGAGCGACTTTGATTCTTCTCCATACAATTTCTGTGATATTTTCAGTCTTTAAATTGTTTGTGGAATCCACTCAGTCATTATTTTTTGTTTAGTGGATGAAGAATCTCATTGTATTAAAAAGAATTCTGCTCATTTCTTTTTTTTAACCACTTAGTAGCATATAATAAAACTATAAAATTCATATGTCCTATTTTTTTTCAGCTGCAGCAGGAATAAAATTCATAAATATCAACCAACTGATAATTTTTTTTTTTGTGTAAGGAGATATACAATTATTGATGTAGTACCCTGAGTATGAACACAGCATTACGGTGCTTAATACTTGAATTTGGTTTGAGACACCTGGATGTCTTTACTCTCAGCATTTTAGGGGCTGGTTTAATATATCTTTTCAGCAATATGTAGAACTAAAATTCTGTAGTGACTGAAGAAGACAAGTAGACTTGTTTTTTGAATAAAACTGAAAAATTTTGAGCAGTGGAGAGTAAAGCTTGAGATTTCTTAGGGTGCTCTGTTGTTCTTAGCATGCATGAACACATGAACAAATTAAAACTATTCTTCAGAGTGAATAGGGAGATATTTTTAAGAACATTGCCATCCTTCTCTAATTTACTTCCCTAAATTTATGATTTTTATGTAAAAATATTTTTTAAATGAAAGCAAAGAAATAAAGTACTGCAGGTCTTTGAAAGTAATTAGTGCTATAGTCACTGTTCTCTGAATCAACAGCAGCAGACCATAGATGTCAGATATGCAGGCTGCTCATCTGACTGATAAGTCCTTCCAGACTGCTTATAGTCGTCTAAAAAATCACCTTGGA